GGATCCCGCTGAGAGGTGCAGTCGCCGGGGCTGCTGCGAGCCCTGCGCTCCTGTGGTCCCCAGCCCCAGCCCCTGTTACCCCGCACCTGCGGCGCTCAGCCGGCGTCCTGCCCGGCGGGCCACCAGAGGGCGCGCTCCACCTGGAAAGCGCGGGCGCCCCAGGAGGCCAAGCTGGTGGTGGCGGCCTGTCTGCCGTGAGGACCGCACTGGCCAGGGTCCCGCCGCACGCCCCAGTGGGACCCTAGATCTGCCAGCTGGCCTGTGCGTGATGGGCCCTGCTCCCCGCCAGAGGTGACACAGGCCGGACAGTCCCATTTCAAGCTGCAGATAAAATCCATTCCGTGGTTGAAAGGCAGCTGTGACGCCCTGCATGCCCCACGCCCTCTAGGCTGTGCCTCACTCCTCTGCCTTACCTGGGGCGCCCCACTGGCCCCAGAGGAGGGAGCCGAGAGCTGGCTGGTGGGTTTCACTTGGTGAGTTTACGTGGGAATGTTTCTGGCCGACACGTCATCTAGGAAATTGCTGACAAATGGCCTCCATCCGGAATACGCTGCGTCAGCAGTTCAGGTAGCATGCAGATTTATTTTCAGGAAACTCAAACTACTTTCAAACCCATTACCCTTGGGCCAACCAAGTCAATCCCCCTTCCCCTGTTTTCTGGGAGTCCGGAGCCATGGCGTAAAGGAATCCAGGCGTCCCTGGCAGGGACTAGGCGCTGCGCTCCCGCCTTATTAGGGCAGAGACGAAGGTGCCCCTACCTCACAGCTGTGAGAGCCAGTGTCAGGCCTGGTAACAGCAGCACAAAGAGGATCAAACACCGTGACTCACGCCCGCCCTTTGCTCATCCAGAGACAATTCCAGAGGCTCCTCATTAGAGCCCCTGGCAGGCTGCCTGCCTTTCTCGGGGCTGCTGTGAGCCTAATGACACAGAACAATGGCTTCCCTTCTTGCACACATCCCTTATTGTGCCTTTAATCACATTAGAAAAACAACAGCAACACGCGCAGTGGCCTGGGTGAGAGGCGTAGCGGGGCGCCTGGGATGGCGGGTGCAGGGGTGCAGGAGGACCCCCCTGACAGGCTCCAGGGCAGCGCATCCCAGCAGCTCCCTGTGCGCTGGTGAGAGTGGTGTGCCGGGCTGGGACGGCTGGACCCGCCGCACTCCTCGCAGTTGCCCAGCCCTGAACTCCCTTACCCGTGCCTTGGAAGACTGAGAGCAAAGGCATTGAGCAAAGGCAGGGCTGTGGGCAGGGAAAGTCTTCACGAGTATCGGGGTACCCTCTCCTGCCCGGGTAAATTAATCACCTCAGGAGAGTGCGTGTCCCTGGGGCAACTGGGGACAGCCTTCTAGCACAGGGCTGCGGCTGGATCCTGCTGAGCTGGTTACCTGGTTGTGGGGGGAAGGAGGCCACCTCTGCAGGGATGAGGAGTGGGGGAGAGGTGTCTGCAGAGGGGAGAGGTGGGGGGACATGTCTGCAGGGGTGAGGAGTATGGGAGAGGAGGTGTCTGCAGGGGTGAGGGGGGAGGTATCTGTAGGGGGACGAGGGGGTACATCTGCGGGGGCGAGGAGTCTGGGGGTGTGCTGGGTGGAGGGGTCTGGGGGTCGGAGGCATCTGCAGAGGGGAGGAGTCTGGGGGGAAGGAGGCATGGCAGAGGGGAGCAGTGGGGGGCATCCGCAGGGGTGGGAGGGCTGCCCTGTTGGCAGGGTGACAGGGGCCAGCCCAGCCCCTGGGAAGCGCAGGACAAGGCCGTGGTCAGGGTGCCTGGAGGAGGCCCCAGGCCTGGGCAGGCAGGAGCTACCCTCCAGAATCAGCCCTTCTCCCCGCTCTTCTCGGCCCCTGGGGACCCTTTCGCAGTTTTCCAGTCTTTGCTAAATGGATTAGGCGCAGGGAGATGGTTCTGGCCGGACTCAGACTCCAGCGGGAGACTGTGGGGACGGCACCCGCCCCAGTCGGGCACTTGCGAGCTGCGGGCGGAGGCGAGAAAGCTCGCGCTGTCGCCCGTGGCAATAATGGAAAATGTCATCCTGAACCACCCATGACATGTATGGGCGCCCTCGGCTGGCAGGACCCCGCGGGCCCTCGGGCCCGTGTGCAAGCTGGCCGCCCAGCAGGGAGCAGGGGGCACCGGCAAGAACCAGCTCGAGGGGTGTCGGGCTGGTGTGCAGGGCCTGTCGTGGCCACGCGTGGGGTGCCGCTCAGATAAGCCTGGACGGGCTGGGGTGGCGGAGTGCCCTGGCCTGGGGAGCCCTCCCGCTGGGGGGGTGTGCTGGCGCCAGCGGCTGGCCTCCAGAGGGCTGTCCCAGCGGCCCCCCTCCTGGCGAGCCCCGCCCAGGGTCCCTCCCCAGCTGACCGCTGGGGCCGTGTCCTCTCCAGCCAGGATGGCAGCGCTAGGCCAGGCCCTGCAAGGCGTGTGTTTCCCGTCCTACGCAGAGCCCAGTTACAGCTGGACAAACACGGGGCAGTGTCGCCCCTGCACCCACCAGCGTCCCCGGCTGCACATGTCCTGAAGACCCCACGGCCCCCCTTCCCGTAACTTCTCTCCCCAAACATTCGTGATGTTTTTGTTTCTGCTTTAACAGATCAAGGCCCCCCTCTCTCCCCCATATTCTAATTGCAGTATCAAGTGTTTTCTTTGCTTCGTTAACTCCTTCCCAGAGGAGTTCCCCCCCACCCCGCATTTTTCTAGCAAATTTGCCCATGCCTAATGGATCACCCCAGGAAATGCCACGGACGCCCCAACAGCTCCTCCCTGCCTCCTGAAGTTGTCCCCCTTAGCCTGGGTAGCCGCGTGCCGGCACCTTGTCCTCTGCGGTTTCTCAGTGGCCACCTCCCGTGGCCCAAGTGTCCATGCAACCCGCCCTGCGGTGCGACATCCCCCCGTCAGCAGGTTCGAGCCGGAGCTGCAATGTGTCCTCCATGCAGGGCTGGGGACGGCTCTGCCAGGCTGCCACAGCTGGGGGCGCGGTGTTGGGGCGCGCTCTGAAAAGGGCCCCCAGCCCACCCTGCACGGCAGCCCTGCACCCCCTCTGCCACTCTCCTGCCCCCATGCTGGGTCCGGCGGGTTCTGCTCCCACATCATCTGTGTGTTTGTGTGGTTTCTGTCACCAGCACGCTCCGGCAGGCCCACATGCCTCCATGTGCCCCCACGCGCCCCCACACGCCCGGGTCGCACGCAGCTGGCGCGTGTCATTTTCCTCCCGTCCTTATTCCCTGGAATTCAATCACCCAAAGAGCAAGAAGCAATTATCACAAAGTGGCCGCATTCTGAGTCCTTCGGTGCCTGTGAAGCTGGGGGCGCATCGTTTTATTTCCTGCTGCTCGGGTGACAGGCACCTGCTGTCCTCATTGTACACAGCGTTGGGTTGCAGGGAGCCTCAGCGGCTGCCCAGGCTCCGCACAGGAGGTCCCGAGGACAGTCCAGCCAGCGCCATTTCTTGCTAGTGTGTGAGAGGCCTCCCTGCTGGGCCCACCGCCTGTGACAGCCAGCTGGCCGCTTGGCCGGACCCAGCCTCCCCGATACAGCACCGCCTGCAGCGCCCCTCGGTCCTCCCCAGGGTCCACGTTCTGTGTCCTGGTTTCCCAAGAAATACCCTCGAGTGGCCTCGGCGAGAGGGATCGTCTCACCATGGCCTTGGCAAGCACAGCGGGCAGTGGGGAGGCTGAGGACGGGCCGGGGTGGGCGCCCGTGCCCCCATGGGGAGCCCTCCAGCCCCACTCCGTCACCTTGTGCTAAGAGCGCAGCCCCGGCTGGACGCTGTGGGTCCGGCGCGGAGGGGTCTGCCCCGAACCCTGGTTAGGTTTCCTCCATGAGGGCACCTCAGCCCCAGGGGCTGCCAGAGCTGTAGGTGAATTATTTGAGCGTTTAATTTATAATAAAGTCTGCAATCAGCAGCTCTTCTCCCAAAACACCCCCATTTACTTGGTTTTAGAGCCGCGTAAACTGTTTAAGAGCAATCTGCTCAATTGGGCGAGTTGATGACAATGGTGTCATCGGGCCAGGCGCTGCAGGACGTGCCTCCTAGGGCCCGCCATCCTGGGCGCCACAGAGGCACTCGAGGGGACAGGCCCTGCGCCCCGGGCCTGGGAGACCCGCTGGCCGGCCCCCGCACCCCCTTCGAGTGAAGTGCCCCACAGTTTTCACAAGGCTCCAGCCTGTGGTTCTCATCCTGGCCCGGGATGACGGCCCGGGAGAGGCAGAGGGACAAGCCCAGGCCGAGGGGCTGGCCAGAGGCCGGCGCTCCAGGCAGAGCCGGGCCTGCTGGCTCCGAGGTGCGGCAACCCTGAGCCAGCCAGCACCGCCCTGGGAAGATGCAGGCTGCGTGGGCGGACGGGTGTTCTGCCGTTTCAGGCCGCCGAGCTGCCATCCTGCAGCCCCGAAGAAGCCTCCCGCGTGGGAGTGAGGTCGAGGGTCTCTCAGCTTGATGATGGTCACACAGTCTGTGCACGTCACCAGAGCCCCGGGACATGGGGTCAGGAGGCAGGACAAGGTGAAGGTGGACGTGGCCCCGGCCACCTCGCCTCCCGGAGCTGCAGAGCCCCAGCTCTCGTGCCCCCCGAGGCGCCGTGCTGAGCAGCCCTGGTGGCCCTGGGTGTGCTGGGCGCTGCGGCCCCCGAGGCGGGAGGGGTGGGCTCCTCGGGCTGTGGTGGGTGTCCCCAAGCCAGCAGGCATTGGGAGCCGCAGCAGTGAGGCTGGCAGGGCCAGGCCGTGGCTCAGGCCCCCATGCCCGCCACTTCACCCACGGAGTTTGGCCCCTCACCGACCAGGACCACAAGCGTTGAGACTCTGAGTCACTGTCGTCGCCCAGCAGGGCGGTGGCTGAGGTTGCCCCTCGGCCCTGGGGGCTGAGCAGCCCGAGGAGCGGGCTATGGTGGGGCCACCAGGGCTCCTGCTGGGGGCGGCTGCAGCCCGGCCCAGCGCCCAGTATGGCAGGCGACTCTGCCCCGGCCCTGTCCTCCCCACCGTCGCTCCGCTGACCTGGGCTCCGTGTGTCCCCTGCAGGTCAACGGCAGAGACCTGTCCCGCGCCACCCACGAGCAGGCAGTGGAGGCCTTCCGCACGGCCCAGGAGCCCATCGTGGTGCAGGTGCTGCGCAGGGGCCCCCGGCCCAGGCCCTTCCCGGCCGCCGCCGAACCACTGGTGGACGCCGCCACCCAGACCGACATCACCTTCCAGCACATCCTGGCGCTCAGCAAGGTGCCCACCCCGCCACCCAGCCTGGGCGCCTTCCTGCTGCCCGAGGAGTAAGTTGTGCCCGGCAGCCGGGCCCGGGGCCTCGCGGGTGCCACATCCTCTGGGAGGCCACGGGAGCCCTGCCCGGAGCCCCCATCGGTCACTGTCCGAGGAGCCAGGCAGGGCTGTTCAGATTATGCTCTAAGAACAAGATTACTTACGAGTGTTGCAGAGGTCGTTTCCGAATGAAACTTGATCACCCTAAATGGCAGCGCGAGGCTTGTGGGGAGCAGAGGGATATGGTGGTGCCCGAGACACGGCCCCGGCCCCCTACCCCGGGAGGCCTCCGGCCGCCCCCTGTGTCCCACCTGGGCGAGGGGCCGCACTTCCAGGTGGGGCAGGGCCGCCAAGGCCTCACGGGACATGTGGGCAGCTGTGGCCTGGCCCGTAGCTCCTGTCAGGGGCCCCTGTCAGCGGCCATGTGTTCAGAGGCTAAAACGTCAGGAGAGTGACAGGCAGGAGCTTCTCCGAGAGGGGTGAAGGGTGCAGCAAGAGCCTTCCTGTGTGACTGATCGGCAAGTGTCCACCTCCCCGGCGGTCAGCATCAGCCACTGCTGGGCCTCCCGGGTGGCAGCCCACTCAGTCACTGCCTGACTTCAGTAGCCTTCACCTGGCAAGCCTCTGTGCTCCCACTGCAGGGCACCCCGTGACCTCTGTCAGGTCCCAGACTCGGGTGTGCCCTGCACTGACCCTGTGGTTGGCTGGTGACCCGGGACAGGGCTCAGGCCCAGGCTGGGCTTCGTGGGTTTGCAGCAACTGACAGGGTGTAGAGGGGACACCCAGCAGAGGAGGGAGTGAGGGCAGAGCAGGGTGTGCGGACAGGGGAGGGACGCTCAGGGCAGTGGGCTTGACCTCACTGGCCAGACTGGCCTGTCCACAGGAGCCGTGGAGCACCCCACTTCACCGCAGCTGAGGGAAGACAGGTCAGTCCCCTCCTCCAGGCCTTTCTCGGGACCCTGGACACAGGGCCAGGCCTGGTTCAGCCTCTCCGACCTCTCCCAGGCTGGAGCCAGCGCTGCCCCTGGGTGCTGTGGGCTTCCTGGAGGCACCGTTTCCTCCTGGGTCTAGTTGACATGACGGGACTTATCCCCGAGGGGCAGCCAGACAGCCATCAGAGTCAGAATGACCTGAGCTGGCCGCCCCTCGGACCCGGCCAATGGCCCTCAGGCTATCTCGGGGGGCCATGCCTGGAGCTGCCCCGGACCAGAGAGAAGGTGGCCCTGGGGGTCACTGAGCAGCGGGGGGGGGGGGGGAGGGCACCGGCAGCAGCCCTTGGCCCTCACAGGCCCTTCTCTCCGCAGGCCGCCCGTCCACGAGTTCTACGACGCCGGTGACTACCTGGGCGGCCTCCCCCAGGACATGGACCGGGAAGAGCTAGAGCTGGAGGTGTGGGCGCGTGGGCCCTCGGGGTGGGGCCTCTCCTTTGAGGTCCAGCTGCTCTGTTTGCTCCCGTGGGGCTGAAGCACTCTAGTGGTGCCCACCCCGGCCTCCGGCGAGCCCTTCCCTCCTGGTCCGCCTCTGCTGCTCCTTGGAGGCCAGATGGTGCTCATGGCCTTTCTCCTCTGGCCCTGCCCGGGCCCCACACCCCTGGGCACCCTCATAAGTGGCGACACCCCCGTGTGGACAGAGCCGGGTTCTGTGGGGTTACCGGCCGCACCTTCCTGCTCCGCACCCCTGCTGGGGCCTCCTGACACACCAGCTGGCCGTCTCCCCAGAAACCAGGGGGCATCTTGGCTGTGGTCCCAGGCTCCCACCAGGGCATGCTCTGCCCCCTGCAGGCTGCCATTTGGGGCGGGGGGGGGCACTTCTGCCTGGTTGGGCATGGGGTGGGCCCTGCAGGGACGCCCGGCCGGGAGTGAGTCTCCCTGCCACGCGTGGGTGGCTCAGGCCCCTGTGGCCGTCCACCTGCTGTGTCTGGTTGCAGAGCATGGCCTGGGCTGTGTCCACCCAGCCTCTGGCCTGAGGCCCTGCGCAGGGTCACCAGGGCTGGAGCGGGGGTTGAGCCTGGTCCTCCGTGCTTCCGGAGTGAGGCTGGGTGAGGTGTCCGGTGGAGTCTGGATTTGCCCCTCAGTCTTTGAAGGCCGTTCAGGTGTCCAGAAGGCTCGCAGATCCAGCCCAGACCAGTTTCCTTGGCGTCCTGTTTTCAGGAGGACCAGGCTGTCCCCTGCTCCCTCCCTTGGGTCCAGCATCCTTGACGGTCCTGAAGCCAGTGCTGCTGTGGGCGCTCCTGGCCACCCCGCCTCGGTCAGTGCCTGGAGGAGGCTAGCCTTGGGTCAGGGCCCGTACCAGTCTGCGCTCACCAGAGGGCCGCTTAGTCAGCATCTGCACCTTGTGAAAGTGACGGGCTCATGGGCGTTGTCACGGGAGGAAAGCGTGGGGTGCTGGAGAGTGCGGACGCATTCACAGGGGAGCAGACGTCCTGTCTTTAGGGCACCCCAAATGGCCAAGTTTTGGTCCAGTCCCCATATTGTGAAAACGCTTTGAGTTTAAAGAATCCACCAGGTGCCCAGAGTGGGCAGCCAGACATCCCCCGTGCCAGCGCCGGGGAGGGGCCGTGCAGGGGAGGGGCCGGGTGGACCCCTGTCTCGAAGCCAGGGCACACCCTCCCCAGGACCCTGCCCTCCCTGGGTGAGGCCACCCTGTCTGAAGCGCCGGCCAGCAGTCCCGTTCCCGAGACTCCACTCGGCGGGCAGGAGCCAGTCCCCTGGGGCCGCCCCGGGCCTGGGCTCGGAGCCTGGACTAACGCGCAGACGCTGGCTTGTGGGGGGCGGGGCCCTCAGTCCCCTCGAGCAGACCATTCTGGTGTCACCCGAAACGCCGGCTCAGGTGCTTCTATCCAGGGCTCATCTAGGCCGCGGGCCACTGATGCCAGGCGGGCAGCGGCCAGCCCGAGGGCGGGTCCATTCTCCCTTCCAGGGCCATTAACAGTCTTCGAAATCTTACCTCGGCCACCGCAAACAGGTGATGCTGGGCTCGGGTGAGGCCCTGCTCTGCGCCAGGGAGAACGAGAGAACCCGGCCGCCGGAGGGGCCAGGGGCAGGGCTCCTGTGGACCAAACTGCTGCCCGGTTCTGGGGTCCCACGGTAGTCGGCAGCTGGGGTCACGGGCCCCTCCTGGGGTCATTCTCTGCCTGGACTCTTGAGCTGCCCGTCCACCTCAGTGTGACCTCTGGCCATTCTACACGGCCAGCGCCACCTTCCCTGCACGCTCCATGTCCCTGCCGTGGTCTCACTCAGTCCTGCCGCGTCAGGCCCCAGGCGGGCACAGGCTGGCCAGTGCGGCTCCAGAGGCCAGCCCAGGCTCCCTCCCACTGCGCCCGCACCCACACCTGCACGTCAGTTCCGCGAGCAGCCCACGCGCTACTGCCTGCCCACTCCCTGCAAGTCCTTCATCATGACCCTCAAGCTCACTCGAGTGGTCAGGGAGAGAGTCCCAAGGAAAGGGGCCCCTCGCAGGCCGGTCACTGGGGAAGCTGGCCTTGCGTTGCCATTTCTGGGTCCGTTAGAAGCAACTCCCTGCACCTCTCCAGTCTCTGTGAGCGGCTTCGGCCTCGGGGGCGGGCGGCTCTGTGGGCAGCCCTGAGGCCTGGACTCGCGCTGTGCCGATGCACCGGACGGGTGTTTCCTTTGCTGGCAGATGGAACCTAAGGGCGAGCCTGGCGCGGCCATGGATGCCGGTTCTCCAGAGTGTTTGGAAAGAAGTTGCAGTTAAGGGGACCCTTAGATCTGTGCCCCGACTGCCTAGTTGACTTCTCGAGTCCATCCAACTCCACCAGACCCCGGTCTCTGGGACCCCATGTGGACACCCGCCGGCTGTGGGAACAGGGTCAGGACGGTTGTCCATGAGAGGAGCCAACGCGGGCATGAACCCTGCCGCCCACCGCAGACAGGGTGCCCGCCCACCTCACACACCTCCAGCAGAGCCTGCACCAAGAGGTGGGGTGGATGGGGTCACAATCCCTGGGGAGCTGTGGAACCCTGCCAGGGCCCGCACCAGCTGCGTCCTTCCCCCGGGGCAGTTGCTCCAGGCTCCTCAGCTAGGCCCCCACTGCCTCCTCCTGGCCAGCGACAGGACCTTTGCCCCTGCTGTCCCCTGCCTTGTGTGGGGTGACGGGCGCCCGCCTTCCACAGAGAAGACTGGGGAAGGGTCTGAGCCTTCCCCTGGGTGGTTGGGTCGGCCCTCCCCCAACCCAGCTGGTGGCGACCAGGTGCCCTGGAAAAGCCACAGGCCCAGCTGCTGCTGTGAGGGCGCCCGGGCCAGCAGCACCCCCTGCCGGGGCCACCTTGTCTGCCTGGCTCCCTGTCTCATAGCGGCGGAGGCCCGGAGCCCACTTCTGGATGATGGCCTGAGCACCGCCCCGCCTCCTCTCCAGGGTAGGGGTGCTCGGTGCGCCCGCCCCACGGCGTGGGGGACCCAGTGTGCCAGCCAGCGCCTGTTCTGGCGCGGCAGCCCGCTGGGGCGAGGGGCAGTCTGGCAGCGCAGCCGGCAACGGAGAGCTTTTTAAAAGCCCTGGCCCAGAAGCTTGACGCCAAGTGAAACGCGGGTCATTTTTCTTTGGGGGATCAATAAAATAACTATTTTCAAAATGACTTTCTATCGACTGGAAGGGCGAGACGCCCGGCGCATCGATCCTCCTCGTGTGGCGCGGGTGGGTGAGGCTAGGGCCGCCCGCCGCCTGCCCATGGCCGCTGTTTTGGCAGGAGGTGGACCTCTGCAGGAGGAGCAGCCGCGACAAGCTGGGGCTCACCGTGTGCTACCGCACAGACGAGGAGGAGGACCTGGGCATCTACGTGAGCGAGGTATACGCCCGCTGGCCCCCGGAGGACGCCCCCGGGCAGCGCCACCCTGAGGCCTCACTTAGGCAGTCACCGGGGCCATCGGTGAGGCTGTGCAGGCCCTGGGGCGGGCAGGCCCTCTCCCCCCCACCCTGATGCTGCCCAGTGGGGCCCTCACTCCTCAACGCCAGCGCCCCCTCCCCCCACCCTGTGGCAGTGGCCTCCTCAAGCGCCACAGCTGCCTCCATGGTGCCTGGCCGTGCCCGCCTGCTGGACCAAGGCCTGTCCCTGTGGCAGTCTAGGCCCTGCCTCCCGTCATGCCCGCACCGCCTCCATCATGCTTCTCCCACTGTGGCCACAGGCTCTGTGGTCACTCAGATGAAGCCCTTTCCTGACCAGCTGGTCACGGCCACTCCTCCTGGCGAGCAGCACGGCGCTGCCCTGGCCTGGACGTCAGGCCCGCTGCAGCCTTCCCTGCGGGAGCCCTGGCCTCTGCGGGCGCGGTCACCGCCCCAACTGCTGTGTGTTTCAGATTGACCCCAACAGCATTGCAGCCAAGGATGGGCGCATCCAGGAAGGGGACCGCATCATCCAGGTAGGTGCCCGGCACCCAGCAACAGGCAGCTGGAGCAGGCGCTGAGGGCTGGGGAGGGGGGCGGCCCGAGGCTGGAGGGGCGGGTCTGGAGGGGCAGGTCTCGGCTGGGGCTTTGCCTCTGCTCCAGGCAGGGCTTGGGGGCAGGCGGTAGGGAGCTTGGCTGGGGGGTGGGGCCTGGGGGTGGGCAGTGGGGGGCTGCCTGGGGGCTGGGGTTTTGGGGGCCAGGGGATTCTTCTCTAGCCCCCTGTGGCAGCATCAGGCCCAAATCTGCTGCTTGTGAACCAGACAGGTGGGTGTCATAATCCTCCGGAGGACTGACTTTGAACCAAGATTTTGAGTTTATCCTTACAATGGGAGGGGCTCTGAGCGGGTTTCCAGCTGGGGGTGGCTGCAAAGGGCTGACTGTGTGCATGACGTCATCCAAGATTGTCCCATTATTTAAATGAGATGGTTTCTGTCATCTCTCAGCAACCAGAGTCCAGGCTCATCACACTGGGAGGCTTAGCTGCCCCGTCCCAGCCCCCGGCGTGTCCGGCTGCCCCAGGCACCACCTGGGTTTTCACCCACTACTTGTACCACAGCCCCCAGACCCACCACCCCTCCTGCCCAAGCCCCAGCACTAGGCCTTTGGGGTGCATGCTATGGTGGGAGCCTCCCTGGGGCCTGGCCCTTCAGACTCCAGTGCAGGGTGGAGACTGGCTGCTTTGCTGCCTGCTGGCTCCTGGGCCAGGGAGGGCTGGGCACACCCCCTCCCACTGAGAGGGATGGCCCGTGTGTCTCCAGGAAGCCCTAGCCAGAGGGCCCAGGGAGCCTCCCCTTGGGGGGAGGGCTGGACATCTGTCCAGCTGAGGCCAGGGGGCAGCCCGTCCCTCCTTCATCCTGAGCGAAGTGACACTCTCCTCTTCTGCCACCTCCCTCGGCACCGGCCCCTTCTACCCACATTGTCACAAAGGGCAGGGGTTATCTTCCCACGCCTGAGTCACCTTGCAGCACCCCAACGCCCTAGTCTTCTCTGCTCTCGGTGCACCCCATTCCCTGAATCCGTGTCAGGTGACCCCTGAGTCCATGTCAGAGTTTTGGAGACCTCCCCGGGACACTGTGTGCAGGCAGCAAGCACTGTGGACACGGCTGTCTCCCCCAACTCTGGCCCGCGGCGCGCAGTGGCAGAGGGTGCCTGGACAGCAGATGGCCGGCGTCCAGCTTTGGACAGCCACTCCACTGCCCCCTTTGTCTCTTAAGATCAATGGGATAGAGGTGCGGAACCGTGAGGAGGCCGTGGCTCTGCTCTCAAGTGAGGAGAACAAGAACGTCTCCCTGCTGATCGCAAGGCCGGAGCTCCAGGTGAGCATCTCCTGTGGGCGGGGCTGTGGCACCCTGCACCAAGGGGGGCCCTGCACCCCTGAGCAGGTGGTCTCACTCGAGGGGTGGCTGGTCTGGTACCCTCAAGGGCCTGGTGACCGCCCTGGTGTCATGCTTGAGGGGCTGGTCGTATGCCGCCCCAGGAAATGGAGGGATGCAGGCCAACACAAGGCAGCAGGCAGCCCAGCCAGGGGCCCGGCCTATCGCCCTCCTCTGTGGACAGGCGGCCCGGCTCCCAGCCTGGCCCCGAGTGCAGAACACTTTAGGAACAGTGTGTCGGGGCAACCACCACAGAGGGTGGCATCCTGTGCCCACAGGGACGCAGTGGTCACCTCACTTGGTGACCTCACCTAAAGGGCCAAAGCATGAATATGCTTCACTCTGGGGGCCGCTGCCTCTGGGGGCTGCTGCTTAATTCTGCTGTGCAGCAAATGGAGTCCTGCCTGGCCCTGCCTGGCCCAGGGTGTGCAGTGAGGCAGGAGGACATCATGCAAGAGCAGCAGAGTCAGGCTCAGCCCCTGCTGCAGGCCATCCTGTGGGCAGGGTGGGTGAGCCAGGCGCATGAGAGGCCGTGCCCGCCAGCAGTGGGTCAGCCGCCCCCTGGCCTGTGGTCAGAAAGATGCTTTCGCTCTGGCAGTGGCTTCTCTGTGGGGTTGAGGAGGCCCCACAAGGAGGCTCCTTGGCCAGCATAGGTGGCTGGAAGGGCTCGGCCCGCCCACCTGCAGGGGGCACACAGGCCCCGAGGAGGGGGCAGCACCTCCCCTGTGCCCTCCTAAGGCATGTCAGCTGCTGCCTCTCCACAGCTGGACGAAAGCTGGATGGATGATGACCGGAACGACTTCCTGGATGCCCTGCACATGGACATGCTGGAGCAGCAGCACCGCGAGGCCATGCGCTGCACGGCGGGTGGGTGCCAGCAGGTGAGGGGCCACGCCCGTGCCGGACCCCGGGACTGCAGCCCACCCAGCAGAAACCAGGCACCTATCTCTGCACCGGAGCTGGACTGGGGACGGTCTCCCTCCTGGGGCTGCCAGCGTCGCTGCAGGCTGTGCTGCCTGGACCGCCCCAGAGGAGTGCTTGGGGACACTTGCCAGCAGCCGCGCAGTAAAACCCTCCCCATGCCGCCCCTCGAGAGCCATGGCCGCCCACCGCCCAGGACACGGCCTGCGGGCTTCCTGCCCCACAGGCCCCCGGGAGCTAGGTGGGCGCAGACACAAGGTCCCAGCTGAGACCACGGCCAGGAGAACCCAGCGGGGCGGGTCCAGGGACCCAGACCTGCCGCCTGCCAGGCTCCCACGCTGCCCTCCTGCGCCCTCCTGCTGGGGACCAGGGCAGTGGCTGCCCCCTGACCTCACCCCCCTGACCTCTGCCCCTGTTTTCTGCCGTAGAAGAAGCAGGAGGAGGACGGGGGCACCACAGACACGGCCACCGTCCTGTCCGCCCAGCTGGAGAAGGACAGCGGCGTGGGGCGCACGGACGAGAGCACGCGCAACGACGAGAGCTCGGAGCCCGAGAACCACGGCGAGGACGCGCCGGCCGCCGCGCGGCTCACGGGCAGCCCGGACGCGCTGGGCAGCGGCGACCTGCCCTGCAGCAACGAGTCCTTCGTCTCCGCGGACTGCGCGGACCCCGACGACCTGGGCATCGCGGCCGAGGAGTGCGAGCGCTTCCGCGCGCTCTTGGAGCTGCGGACGCCGCTCGGGCCCTGCGGCCCCTCCCGCCCCGGCAGCCCCCCCGACGCCGGGAAGAGCGACCCCGAGAGCGTGGACCGCGAGCTGGAGCTGCTCAACGCCGAGCTGCGCAGCATCGAGCTGGAGTGCCTGAGCATCGTGCGCGCGCACCGGGCGCAGGGCCGCGACGCCTGGGGCTGCCCCCCGGCGCGCCCCGCGCCTGCAACCCGGCGCCGAGGCGCGCCGGCCCGCGCTGGCCGACATCACCGAGCTGCCCGAGAGGTCGGACAAGGACAGCTCGAGCGCCTACAACACGGGCGAGAGCTGCCGCAGCACCCCGCTGGCCCTGGAGACCTCCCCCGACGGCTCCCTGCGCAGGGCCGCGGCGCCCGCCGACCCCGACGCGCCGGGCCCGCAGGCGCTGCTCGCCATCACCGAGGACCCCGAGTCGGGGGCCGCGGGCTACAGCCCGTCGCCCACGGAGCTGGACCCCAGCCCGCCCCCGAGGGCCCGGAGCGGCCCCTCAGCGGCGGCAGCGCGAGCCCCCCGCCCGGCCCGCGGCCCGCCGGGCCCGCCGCGCGCTCGCCCTACAAGCTCGCGCACATCCCGGCGCACGCGCGGCACTACCGGAGCTACATGCAGCTCATCCAGCAGAAGTCGGCCGTGGAGTTCGCGCACAGCCAGCTGAGCCTGGCCGGCGCCTGCAAGGACCTGGCCGCGGCCGAGCCCCGCGCCGAGTGGAAGGTGAAGGTGCGCAGCGACGGCTCGCGCTACATCACCAAGCGGCCGGTGCGCGACCGCCTGCTGCGGGAGCGCGCGCTGCGCATCCGGGAGGAGCGGGGCGGCGTGACCACCGACGACGACGCGGCCAGCGAGCTGAAGATGGGCCGCTACTGGACCCGCGAGGAGCGCCGGCAGCACGCGCTGCGCGCCCGGGAGCAGCGGCGCCGGCGCGAGGGCCTGCAGCAGAGCCGGCCGGACGGCGCGCGCGAGCCGGGCGCCGAGGAGCGCCGCGAGCCGAGCATCCTGGAGCTGAGCCACAAGAAGATGATGAAGCGGCGGAACAAGAAGATCCTCGACAACTGGATGACGATCCAGGAGCTCCTGACCCACGGCACCAAGTCGCCCGACGGCGCCCGCGTGTGCAATTCCTTCCTGTCGGTGACCACGGTATGACGCTGCCCCGGGCGGCGCCGCGAGCTGCGGGCCGGGGCACCCCGGCCTGGGCGCCCGGCCTGGCGTCCGCGCCGTCGGAACCCGGGCCCGTCTGGGACAGCCTTGTTCAAATGGTACTTTTTTACGTGTTTCCTTTTACATAGTGTTTAAATTTCAACAAGATCTTTTATGCAGCACACTTTCACAGAGCAATTTGCTTAAACTATATTCGTATAAAAAATTAAACATGCTTTTTTTCTGCCGAATCACGTTCAGCTGCCAGTGTGTATTTTGCGCGGCCCTGTTTGGTGTCGCTTTGCTGGGTGTGTCTCCCCGGAGTGTTCAGGGCAAACCACCAGCGTGTGTGCTTGACACTAACCCGCCAGCAAGAGTCGGGGTGCACCTTTAAGTGCTTTTCTGGTTCAACAAGTGTGAGGGCCAACGGGCCAGGCCTGGCAGCTCTGTGGGCTTGGAGCGTGTCTGCAGGGTGCCCACGCTGGGCTCTGCGTGTGCGGGGGTGGCTGGGAGCTGAGTGCTCACAGCCAACCTTGGCTCGCAGATTTGAAGGGCAGGTTTCCACAGGCAAGTTCACAAGATCATAACTTACTGGAAATGTTAAGTAAAGTGAAGTTAAAATAAATTATTTTCTATGTGCTATATTTTAAGGTGAGTCTTGTTTTGCAGCAGTGCCTAGAAAGTAAAAGCCCTCCAGTGTTTTCCCTTCATCGAAAGAGCCTGGACCTTCCAAGCCAGCCAACACCTCCTTTCAGCCTGGAACGCAGAGACGGGCAGCCAGGTCTGTCCTGTGGGAGGCAGCCCCCCCCGCCCCCCCGCCCGCCCCCCCCCGCCCTGCCTGCCTGAGCCATGGCGCCACCTCCCAGCAGCCCGGCAGTGCCCCCGGCCCCACAGGGTTCTCCAAGGTGCCCAAGTCACCCGCACTCCCCACTCAGCAGCTCCCAGGGCCCTAATGAATTTGCTACAAAATCCTCCCTGGTCACCGTGTCTGTGCCTGTTCCAGCTGTGATGCCCACGGACAAGACCAGGCAGGAGCAGGGGCGTCAGGGCCTGACCGCACAGCTGTGCCCGGGGCTGACGGATGCAGGCTGAGCTGGCAGCACTGGGCCTCAGACAGGAAGGCACCCAAAGGCCAGCTCCAACCCAAACTCCTCATCTGGGGCCAAAACCCTGCGAGTAGCTAGTAGTCCTGCCTGCTCTGAACGGCAGCCAAAGTAAGACCCCGGATCGCTGACTGCTGTCTCCCGAGACGCCTGTTCATTGCCTCTTGCAGAACCGGGCTTTGCAGAGATAACTGTGTCTGCTGCCATGCGAGTCAGGCCCCCCAGAGAAGTCTTTGCAAAAGGAGTGCTGTCTCCCACACCCCAGGTTCAACTTTAATAGAAGTGGCTCCTTGGCTCCCAGGGAGGCTCCAGTGCCGGAGCAGCCCAGCCTGTCTTCCACGTTGTCTCAGGACAAGCCCCGTCAGGGACGTGAGTCCCCCGGGCAGCCGGCAGCTCCTCTCCCTGACGTGGCTTTTCCGGCTGCGAGGACCCCGGTCAGGCCCTCCTCCTCTGCCTGCGCCACCTTGGAAGAATGGGGAAGAAGTAAACTCAGGTCCTGCGTCAGACCCTTCAGCCCACCAGCCTGTCCTGTCGCTGTCCTTTGGGTGTGCTCAGGCCTGTTTTGCTATGTAACAGGTTCCCAAGTCTCAGATCACTTTGCAGTGAGCAGGGGACAGAGGGGAGGCGTGTGGTGGGCCGGCCGGGACTGGCGCCCACACACCCGCCCCACAGCCTTGCCCCATCACTGGGCGGGCTGCACAGCTGGCCAGGAGGCATCACCTGACCTGTCCCCGGGACCCTGCACGTCTGGGTGGGAGCTCCTGAACGAGCCTGTCGCACTCTCCTTGCACCCCAGGGCCCAGTGCCAGCAGGTGGGTCCTGGGCAGGCAACGGCCACAGCCTTGTCCCCAGCGCCGTCCCCTCCTGGGGACGCCCCGCCCGCTCTCACAAGCCTCGGCTCTTGGGCCCATCCAGGAAACTGGATTTTCTCCACAGAAAATTCACATGCATGTAAGTACATCACACATGGTGTGGAGGGTTCTCATGCCTCCAGCGTCCACTTGCAGCCCCTCCAGAGGTGCAGACCCCGAGTGCTGAGTGGTCAGCCGGACGCTCTGTGGGCCCCATCTCAAGCTTTCCGGAGGCTGCGTCTGGCAACCCCGAGCTGCTTGCTATGTTAATGCTGAGGACTGCGCGTCTTCCTGTCACTCGCTGCTCCGGCCCTCAGGGCTCCCGCGGCCGCTCCAGCCCAGCGCAGGCCGCTTCCCACTCCTGGGACAGGGCATTTGGAGCAGGGAGGAAACAGTCCACAGCGGCCACGTGGTGCATCCACACAGCAGCCTCCGCTGCCGGCCAGTGAGCCTCACGTGGCGGCTTATCTGAGTTCAGATGTTCAGAGATACTGGATTTCAACGACTTCATATTTTTGAAGTATTTTAAACTTTTTGGGATAATTTTATGCATGTTGGGTTATGTAAAAGGCACAATTATAATTACAAAGGAATCTATGTGGTAACTAGTAAATGGTGTCCGTGGCTTATAGCCATTACCATCAGAAAGCGCTGACACAGAGATGCTGGGCACGTGGGGCCCCACAGCCCCACATAAACCCCCCAGGCCCTCCCAAGTCCCCCATGTCTCCCCATCCCCCACCCCCCCACCCTTCACCCCCAAGGCCCCCATCACCCCAGGCCCGGCGAGAGGAAGGTGTTGGCCCGAGGCTTGCGGGTGGTCCCCATCTGTGACAGGCGTTGGCGCTGACAGAGGACCTGCTTGCAGGCGAGGCTCCCGCCAGCCCTGCACCAGCGTCTCTCATGGGGAAGGTGAGTTTGCAGGCCCAAGGAGACGTGCCCAGTCAGACTTTCCTCTCTTAGACCTGAGTGGAGAGCCGGGAGGCGTGGGTGGGGCCCAGGTACTCGGGTCAGCACTTGTTGGTCAGGCAACACCACACTGATAAAGAAAAGGGAGTCCTGGAGCAGGCTGCATAATGCAGGATGCTACTGAAGAGCAAGATCCTGGCGCTTTTATTGACACACCTGATTGGTTGTAAGGGGGAGGAGGAAAAGGCGATTAAGGGGCCGGAGATTAAAGAAAGGGGAAGGGTGTAGAAGATTAGGGATTGTGAGTCTGCTCTCCAGGTTCTTCTTCTCTACTTGATGAGGTGGCAAAATGGCCGCTGAATAGGCTGCCTAGGAGTAGCAGACCCACAAACACTGGCCAGAGCACTGGCGGGTATGGATTGGCAAGCGATGACCTGCTGGTGGCCTGAGGTGAGGCTACAGCGCACTTGCTGGCAACATGGCCGAGCGGCGAAGCCAGCACAGGTCTGTGACCAGGAGCCCCGTGGGCCGCTGCTTCCATGGAGTGGCCGCTAGTGGGGCAGTGGCCGGCGGAGGCAAGACGCAGGGGCACCCAGGGCGCTGCCATCCATGTGGCTGGGTGTGGCTCCCGGAAGCGGGACGAGCGAACGGGTCTCCAGTTTGATGGCTTTCTGGCCTTGCCCCTTTTTTTTAGCTCGCGGGTTCGACTCATGCCCAGAACCCAGCCACATACCCTTGGCCCTGGCGCCAGGGCGGGCATTCGGGTCTGCCTGTCTGTCTGTCTGTCTCATCCGTGGACTAGTGGCTCAGGATAGGCTGTGTGTCCTGGACAGGCCCTGAGGGGCGCCACCTGGGAGCTGCCTGCGCAGGGAGCCACACAGGGCTCGGGGCTCTTCTCAGGACCGCGGCTGCCTCTGCTGAAGCAGGACTGGCCCCGCACCCAGGCCCCGGGGCAGCGCGTCTGAGGAGTCGGAGGGCAGGGCCTGGTGTGGGGCTGCTGCTTTATTACTATTTTGTTCTCTGCATAAGCCTGCAGGGTGTCAGGACGACACTGGTGTGCATGGCCACGGTAGCAGCTGCCTCTTGCTGATTGATTCATGCAACAAATGCTTTTGTGGACAGTTGGGTCTCACAACCACCTGGGGGTCACCCACGCAAGGCTGGGCAGGCCAGGCAGGGGGCGGACGCCGGAGGCATGTGGTCGCAGGGCTGGGAGGGGCAGAGCCTGGGATAGCCCACTCCACCGGCTCCGCCGAAAAGGCCTTGATCTGGGGTGAAGCCGCCACCCAGCGGTTCTGCACCACCAGAGTGGGCCTGTGATCCCAGGCCCACAGCTGACTCTAACGTCCTGCCACATCCATCACTGGCCTGGAGCCCGGCTGGTCAGTCCAGTTACTTGTCAGGACTGACCTGTCCCTCCACCAGCGTGGGGCTGGGGGCGGCAGCTGGGACAGCTGGGCAGTCAGGCTAGCGTCCAGGCTTTGCCTCCTTCAGGGTGGCATCTCCCAAGTCAAAGGAATAATCTTTGCCTTTGGCCAAGTCCAGCTTCATGGGGCTTGACTGCTGGACCACGTGACCAAATAAGATGACAGACTGTGTCTCCAGGTTCTGATCTGCAGGAAGAGCGGGACCTGGGCAGAGGAGGCCTCCCTTACAGCAGGCGAGTCTGAGGTAGAGGCTGTGGCTGGAGGGCTATCTGGGCATATCCTCTGGGTGGGGGCCACAGGGCCCCTTGCTGAGTGCCAGCTGTGGGCAGTCGAGTCCTGTTTCCAGCCTCAGCTTCTCTGTGATCTTGGGTGCCCACCGACTCAAGGGCGGTCAGCCCTGGGCGCTGCTGTGATGGGCCCTCTGGACCTAGCCTGTGGGGTGGGCGTGGCACTGAGTGTGGAAACCCTGCCCATGATGGTCAGCGGTGCCCAGGTGGGTCCAGGAGGTCATGTGTCTCACCAGCAGGCGCTTGGCCACACCTGTCCTGGAGGCTGGGGGCAGCTGGGCAGTGAGCTCCACTGGTGACACTGGCCTACCTCAGCGCAGACATGGGCGTTCAAATGCCGCTTTGCTGTGGGGGCCACGGAACTAGGTCTTTATTAGTTCTTGCAGACCACATTTAGGGACGTCATCTTTAAACCAGGACAAGTCGCGCAGTATTGGGTCTTCTCCGGCG